CTAAATCTCGGTCGATTCGACCGGCGCCATACACGATTTTCGAAAAATTTTCCCTGTCAACGGTGGGTTTCCTTACCCACCGTGGCGAAGGACGTTGCCTGGCGTCGGTTGGGTGGGTGTGAGGAGAGTTGGTGTATGTGATTTCGCTTGAGCGGGTGGTTTGAATGGCTACGCGCCGCAGGTCTTTTGACGATTGCCTAGGTCACGCGTAAGGGAGGGGGAGAGGGGCGAAGGAAGGAAAGGAGGAGAAAGCATACTACGGGTTTTTGCCGCGGATACCTGAGCAGGGAAAAGCTTAAGTGGGACGCGAGATGTGTAGACCGCAGAAGGTACAGGAAGAAGGGGCGGGCGGGGGGTGGGGAGAGTTTGGTAATGTAGGAACACATTTTTTGGGTATGGAATTCGAGGCGGGGGGAAGGGTTGGGTGGGTGGATTGAATGGCTGCGTGGCATAGATCCTTTGACGGTTGCCCAGTTCACGTGAAGGAGAGAGGGAGGGGGATGATGGGTGGAAAGGAGGAGGAGCCGTGCTGATGGTTTTTGCCGCGAACACCTAGGATATAAGGAAAGGGCGGAAATATTGCTTGTTTCGAAAGTGCTCCAATAGTGGAGATGGCGACGAGCTAAGGCGTTGCTTTGTAGACAGGATGAAGAAGGGAAGCGAGGATACAAGTCAGGAGCTGTAGGCAAAAACTGCAGACAGCAGTAAAGGGAAAGAGAAAACAAAGCACTACAAAAAAAAAGTAAATTAAAGCATGCCTAGAAGCCGGTATAAAAGCAAAATCAAAAAGGGAAATGCAAGCCTAAAGCAAAAAAAAAAAAAGCAAAAGCAAAGAAAAAAAAAAAACTAAGCCCACGCGAGTGGAAATTGTCCTATAGGAACCCGTCGTAAGTAGGGGACTTCCCGATTTATGAAGCTGATGCTTAGGCCTCGGCCGATCCGAGCCAGTCCGACTTTTAGTAATTGCTATGCACCAATTCGACCAGTGCCAGTGGGTGCGCTTTATTTCAAGATGTTCAGATCATATTATGAAATCATGGAGTGCGTTCAGGACGACTAATCTCTGTATTATTTATTCAGGCTCAACTGCTCGACCATATGCTTTATTTTCCATTGTGTGATGAACCAGATGTCATTACAACCGATCCATTTTGTTTGAAAATAGTGGCCACATGTGTTTCTGGACGTAAGACTGCTATACAAGTAGTGTATCGTATTTTGCGCTCTATCGACACTGAAGCCAGCAACAGCGTACCGCAGAACTCCCCGTTTTGGCTTCTGAAATGTATTTCGGAG